GTCTCAAAAAGGGGCCTCCTCGGCCATGTCCCTTGGTAGAAGTCTACAGCACTCTTTATGCATGCCAGAAAGCTAATGCAGTTCTACCACCTTTTTGTTTCAATGAACTGTAAGTGCTTGAAATATATTTTCTTTTTTCCTCTGTGACTGGTGCTCAGCAATTCCCCAAGGGATGTGCGTTGACTGTCCCAGGACAACCAAGAACCGCAGAGTTTATGGCCTAACGAGCGTCTGCTTCAAATCACGCAGTCTGCCCTTGCAGTGCCTCATACCAAGGGTCTGTTATTACCACATTTTACAGCATCTGCTGTGATTACTGTAACCGTCTAAAATCACATAACACACAATTACTGCTTTCACGAGAGGAAATATTTCACCAGACAAGGCAAGACTTACAAATAAAATAATTTTATTGAGTTTCTGCTTCTATAGCATGTGGCACATAAAGAGAATTAAGACACAAGGTGTGATGAGAAATTATGTATTTGTCCTTCAGTGAACAAAGGATTCATCTTACCCAGAAAAGCAATCCAAACAAATACCCTTCTCTGCTAGTCATGATGTTCAGTGAAGGCTGATGCTGTGACATTTAGGAAAATGGAAACTGAAGCTGATCTGAAGATAGTGGCCGATGAACACAATTCTGCTAACCTGATGCGAGGAGTAATGTCTGCCTTGCTAGCAAATTTTGTTTTAACTCGAAACCAAAATATTTGCATTTATTTAATTTAATTACAGTGGAACAAACAGCACTAGTATACTTTCTAACTCAGAGAAAAATCCACAATGAGAAAGTGTCCAAAATCCACAGCTGTCTGATAAAGATCAGCTGATTTAGCTGCATTTGCAAAGCTTGTACTTTGGATGTTATAACTTCACTTTTGACCTCTGCAGCCAAGGAACCAGCAAAGTTCCATTTTTTTCAAAAGTTGATCTTCGTCCAGGGTTTGGGCCTTAGAAACATTTTTCATTAAGGAAGTGCTGATAGTTCAAGAAAAAAGTTTGGAAGCTTTTTTTGTATTGGTTGTGTTTCTCTATTTCCCTTTACCCTTTTTTTTCACCCTTTATTACTAGGGTGATATAAGAAAAAAAGTTCTAGTGTTCATGCAAGGATGTCACCTATTTCTGTAACATCTTTCCCCCTTTAGGTCTGAACCCCACTTGCGGCAACACTGTTATCTCCACTCCACTCCAGATAGCGTGGTGATGTATGGGGGGAATGGGGGGTCTTAAGAAACTCTTCATGCAAGTAGCTCTAGGGAGACTTCAAATACAGGGAAAAAACAGTTTTTCCCCCCTGAGGAATCAACGGCATTTTTTATATATGACAAAAGGAATTTGGGATACACACTGCACAAACTTCTAACAGCTCATGAACACCTCTACATGAACGGGAAACCTGTGACCGCGCTGCTGGGTTTGGGCTGACCACAAGAGCAAAGAGCTGCTCGCACATCAGAAGTCTCTCGTGTCTTTCGCTGCTGCTCTTCCAAGCGGGCACAGGCAGCGCAGCAGGGCCGGTCCGGATCTCCCCTCTCCTGGCCACCTGTGCTGCCTGTAGACACTCAGAGCATCTTTGCGCTTTTCCAGTCTTCATACACACTAAAAACTATTTTACATGTTATTTTACAGACCAAACTTCCAGCTGATGTCTCAGTCCGCATTCTTCCTCTGGAAACAGTTCCATACAGTAAAAGCCACAAAAAAAACCATCACCTTGGGAGACATATTAGACAAAGACATATTTGACCACAAAACGGGTTTCTGCCTTTACTTACGTGGGAACAACTAGACTGGCAAGTCTCGCTGCTGCCGCTGCCACTCAGCAACAACTTACTGAGACTGTAGGCCAAGTGCAAAAATAACTTGGTTTAGTCCCATTTCACTCGCCGCTCTCCGTATCACGGGGTGGGTGGTGGTTTAGGTGAGGGACAGGAACCCTGGCTGTCAAAGCTCGCTGCCCGGCCTTGCCACTGGTGGGAGAAAAAAGAAAGCAAGTCTAAGCAAACCAGAGAGGTTAGTTGAAATTCGTCATGTCCTTTACCGCGTTGCCTGTCTCCTGCTCTGCAGTATTCTCATCTGCTCTGCAGCACGTTTCAAGTTATCGAACGCCTGCGTTTAACCGCTCAGGAAGAATTACTGAACAATTTACTTTATTGCTTTGTAAATCAGTTCCCAATTGTGAGGGCTGCTCAGAAAAAAGGAAAAATAAACAGAATCTGTATGTGCTATGAAGAGAAAGTTTACTCTCAGTTTAGCTTTCTGTTGTTTCCTGGTTTAGTGCTCTTGCCTTTCTCTTTTAGAAATACTGCCTAATTGAAAAATTACTTGAGTCTTTCCAGTCTGATAATTTTACTCCACAGAAGCAATGTCCACAATGCCACAGACATTTCTCAAAGTGAAAATCAGATCAGAGAGTCAGTGGATATGGCAAACATTTTTTTGCCATACTTATGGGATCATAAATTATTAGTCATCTGCCTTGGGGGCCATTATTGTAATTCAAAACCATTACTCCTCAAGCTTTTGAGTACTTGCCCATCTCACCATCTTGTTTTATTAAATTCAAATGACAAATGATAGACGTTTCCCAGAGACAACAGGAGGCATAGTACTTCCACTGCTTCGTCCTTCCCCGGATCAATTCCCTCCTCTCCTACATAAGCAGAAACTCTTTGCTGGCTAACATTAATGCTCTAGCATGTATGCATTCCACTTCGGTGGGTGAAAACTTTTGGCAAATCGAACTTCACCCTTGCCTTGGCAAAGGCACTGTAAGTGAAACACAGCTGAACCTGGGAGGCCGGGATGGCTGCCCGGTGCTCATGGGAAGGCTGAGCCAGCCAGAGAAGCGCCTGCAGGCGCTGCCGCTGTCAGCAGCAACACAGCACCTGGGGCCAGGGCTGCTGTGCCTCCTGCTCCGGGACGCAGCCCCGCAGGGACCCCTCGGTGACGGTCGGTGGCACGCCAGCAGGTCTGTGGTCCATGGGGTGGCTGCTCACCAGCACCAGCCCCTTCCGGGTCAGGTCTGCCTGTGCGGCACACAGAGCACGTCCATGGCACCTTCCGCCAGCTGGCAGAGGCTCAGTTTTCTCATTCGCATCGCAAGTGTGTGTTTTGATGGTTACAAAGTAGGGGCAGAGACAGGGTCAAAATTCAGCCAATTTCCTTCCCCAAAGACACCAGTCAGTATAACGTAACTCACCGTGCGGGTTTGCGTTATACGGACTATATTTCATCAGGGATGAGAAGAAATCAATGAATGAAGCAGCTGGAAAGCTTGTCCTTCCAAACAGGCTAGCTTAAGGTAAGAAAACAGTTTCTTCTATGTTTCTCATGTCAAACGTATTTGCTAAAATCCCTGAGAAATTGGTAATACAACCTCCCCATGAGAATTACCAGTGAAACACCAGATAAGCAGGAATTACAATAGAAAGGGGCTCTTGGCAGAGTCCTCACCACGCTCCTTGCACTGTTCTGCCTGCAGTTCCAGTGACAATGTTTGCTACCCCAAGAATGTGATGAAAACTCTTTCGAGAGTAGGTTCAAGTGACCAGTGTGCTGTGAGGAACCTGGAGATATTTTTCCTTCATTTAACTGGAAAAGCTGAACCATCCATTGTGTAATTAACAGTCAGAAACTAGGAACAGTTCAATGAGAGTCAAGCATGCCCAAAAGTCTGGAAGAGGCTGGTTTTGCATATCTTTAAAGATAAATGGTTTTCGTCGTTATGGGCATGACTTAGCTCTCAGCAAAGTTATCCATTTTATTTGAAGAAATGTTTTAAACAAATGCTCCCAAGCTGAAAGTCAGGGGGACTTGGCAACATCAAGGACCCATTTCGCACTGCACTGATGACGCTACTCTACAGTATCAGACTGAGTTTGTCTTTCACAGATAACAGAGACATTTCCAATTTTCAGAAGTCCCCTTCAAATTCTGGAAAGATGTGCTGTAATTCTATATTTCTTCTTATAGACACATCACTTAGCCTGGCTGATGGATATGTTGAGGAAACGGCCATGGGTGGGAGGCCGAGGCCGCAGCAGCAGGGGCTGAAAAAGGGGGACAGGACAGGTTCGTGCTCAGGACAAGAGTTCATTGTCAGAATAACTTCAAAATGCAATAGCAAGTGGCATTCTTGTCTTCTGCTCACAAACTCTCCTTCTAAGCGGCTGTGTGAAGAGGATAGTACTTAGAAGCCTGTAATTAATGATTCATTTGCACATGTTCTCTTTTTAATGATGATGGTCATTAAAGAAGTGCCATCATTACAGTTTGTTACTCACTGTTGATAAATATGGAGCAACCAAAGACACGAAATGGAAGAGAAGCCAGTTTCCCTAAAGACTCTGGCAATGAAAGAGGAGAAAGAGCATCGCTGGCTCATGGAGGAAGGGCCCGAGTCACGCTGCCGACCCTGAAATGGGGGTTTGGGCCGTGTTAGCACAGCAGTGTGGGTGGTGGAACGGGCCCTGTGCTGTCAAGGCTCCTCATGTTGGGCAGTCAAGGAACGGAGCCCTCGAGGCAGGAGGAGGCCAGTGGCCCATCCCCAGGAGCACAGCCCCAAGGGCACCAGCGTCCATCTGTCTGTCCCGCACCGCTGTGGCAGGGAGCCGGGGCCGGGGCCGGCCCGTCCTCCTGGTGTAACACGCTGCTGGTGACAGTTTTCCTGGTAACGTCAGCAGAACCTGTGATTCTGAGCTGTGGTCAAAATACGGTGGAAGCCCCTGGTTTCGGCCAGAGTCTTTTCAAGGCGTAGCAGGCAAGGCAGTACATCTGTGGGCCAGTAAAGGAATTCCAGATTGCCCACCCTTTTTTTCACCCATCCGCAGCCCTGAGCCGTGTGGCGAGGGGAACGGGTCAGGACATCCAACTGCGGAGCCGTGCGGGGGAGACAGCCGCAGGCGCTGAGCAGCTCTGCACGCCCGGGCTAACAGCTCCAGCCATCCGTTGCTCAATTTATACATTCAAAAAGACAATTCAGTCCTCACTTTCTTGCTTTCAGCTTAAGATCAAGCACTCAATCAGGAAGGACACTGATGTATAGCAGGGGCCATTACTAATCGCTAGAGCAAACAGAGACGATCATGAGGATCAACTAGAAAGCAAACGCTGCATTTGCTGGTGCCTGGCAGCAAATGCTCTTGAAGATGAAGAAGATGAAGATGAAGAAGGTGAAGGTGAACATGAAGGTGAAGATGACCGCTCAAGATACCAGCACAGCCTCAGCTCACCCCCACAAAGGCACAAGGGTGAAAAAGGGATGGAGGGTCAGCAGCTTCTCCCCCAGCGTCTGTGTCCAAGGGCAGATGGACGGGGGAGCTGGCAGCCCATGGTGCCCACAGCTACGGAGCTGACCACCACCTTCGGCCCCTGCCCAGCGCACCCCTGGCCTGGATGGCCTCCATCTGCACAGGGACCCGGAGCTGATGACACAGGATACAAAGCCCAGATTGCTTTTAAAAAATGCACAAGCACATATGGAAAAGATGATGCGATTACCTGCAACCAAGAAACACTATTTTGCATTAATTTCTCTCCGGGATCCTGTGCCTTTTCTGTTTGGTTTTTTTTTTCCCCAAGCTGCACAAGGGATTTGCAGACAGCAATGCTAAAACTTAAAAGGGCAAATAAATACAGGGACCATTTGCTTGCTGGCTCTGTGCACCAGCTAGTGGCAGAAATACAAGAACAGATGATCAGAGGCTTTTTGTTCTTTTCTTTTAAGCAGAGCTCCTGACCCATGCACTGGGGGGTGAAATGATTCACTCGGGATTTTTTTTTCCAAAGTCTTGGGGGCTCAGCAGTGGTTTTCAAAGTATATTTTAGAAGGTGAGTCATCTTACATGCCCTCCTTTGTTTCCCTGAATTTCGTCACAATAATGATGTCTTTTTTTAATTGATTATCAAAAACTTTACAAGAGTCTTTCTTTCAACCTCCCACCTACATCTGAAAAATAGCATAGTAGAGTCATATAAATTACAAACTGGAGAAGAAACTCCTGCCCCTGGGTCAGACGTGGCAGCCAGCATCGTGCTGTGAGGTGCTATGGAGGATACAGACATCGCGCCAACCCATCAAAGGACTGATCGCTAAGCATTTGTGCGGAGACTCAGCGGTGGCTGCTCCCAGCTCTCAGAGGCAGTGTGAGATGGCATATGCCGCCTGCCCAAACAGCCATGGCTCCTGTGTACGGTGCCAGAGCTTTAGCACGGAAAGGCAAATGAAAGCCAAAGCCTGGTACTGTTCACCACCCAAAGGCAATATTACCATTATACACAAATTGCACATTGGTTTTACTCTGTTTTGATTTACCCCAGTCCTGCACAGCTGACCTGGGTGGTTATTCCCGAGTTACAGTGGTGCAATATGAGATCAAGAAATGCCTCATACAAGTGAGAGTGAATTTTCAGATTTCTGCTATATGATACGTGAATCTCTACTGTGTCTTCAAGTAAAATATTGCCAGGTTTTCCCACTGGGTGTAATTGACCTGGGACCAGGCAGCGAGGATATTCCCTGATAAACCCCGGCTCTGGACAGGGCCCTATGGCCACATTTCATCTGCGGTCGAGAAATGCCCACCAAGGGACACAGCAGTAATGAAAACTGCGGCAGAGCTGTGCTCGGGCGGCTGGCCTCACCTCGCACGGCTGCTGCTCACAAATGCTTGGAGAAGGAAAGAAACCCACAGAAGAAGCAGACCTGCCTCTGCGATGGCCACCTCTGAATTTCAGAGACCAGCCTGATGAACGTGAGCTGGGACAGACAGCAGTGAGCACAAACTGCATTCTTGTTAGAGGAAAGACCATAGGGTTTGATGTATACTAATTCAGGCTGCTGTGCAGGATCACCAAGCCTAGTATCTGCCTTCCATTAGAGCTCAGTATCTGAACTTCAAGTGGAAAATAAGATGCTTTTTGTTACGTGCTTAGTCTGTGGCTTTGAGGGAAAATGCTGTCTTAGCCCCAGATAGAGTGGGAGGTTTTATTGTACTTTATTATACTACCACTGGCCACAGATGCTGGCTTTCTTTTCATACCTGAAGAGTCAATAGCCTGCGTACCATTTTCCACATCTCTCTCCTCCAGAATTTATGACCTAAATCAGGCAAAACCCAAAAAGCTCTATAGGAGCGTGAGAAAATGGAGTGCAAGGAGGAAGAAAATGCTAGAGATGGTCAATATGGTACCCAGGCATTTAAGCCCTATTTTAACATCTGGGGCTGCATCAAGTGAATCTCTTTCTCTGGAGATGCTTAGAGCAATTACGTTTGTTCTATTTATTCTCCCTCAAAGACTTAGAGATGAGTCAACAGAAAAATCTTTTAGGATGAAAAAACTGAAACTTGAAATAGGCGATATCCCTGGACAATTTGTTCTGCAATCAGAACAGCATTCTCTTTCCTTACTGCTCTCAATCTCTAATTTAAAAAAAAAAACAAAAAACAAACACAAAAAATCCCCACACCAATACAGTAACAGTCACATCTGTAAACACAGTCCCCTTCATTCTTGCTTGCAAGCTCAAGGAGCTATTTCCAGACAATACAGAGATGCTTGTCTTCTAGAGTTCATTTCTGGTGAGAAAATTCCCTCAGCTCTTGTCAGAAAATCCCAAGTGAGAGCAGAAGCTCTCTGAAAGCCTTGAACCAGCTCACTCATGCACAGTGCATGCATTAAAAGGAAAGAATAACTCCACACACCTCTTTGAAAGACTTCTTTACCTCCACTAATGGATGCCAGTGCGCGATGGGCTTGCGTGGGTATGCCAGCATCTCATTCCAGTGGTCTCTGCCCAGTCCTTCAGCATTGACTCCCACACGGCAAACCCCAATAATCTCATTGTGACCCACTCTGAAGAACAACAGACAAGTAACACGATCATCTCTCAGACTGCCCGTACACTGTCTAACCGAGACTTCTGGCCCCATGTTACCGGAGCGCCACGAGGCACGGTGCTAGTGAACGTGGGCTGTCGTGTCTGCACGACCACAGTCAGATCTTCTCTGCTACTGTCAGCGCACACAGCCCCCACCAGAGCACGGCACTGCCATCGCCAGAAATAATTATAACAACTTTAAAATTATTTGAACTGTAGATCAGTCCAGACACAGAATCTGGAAGGAAGTGTGATGTAGTGATGTACAGCAAGAATAAGTACAAGTTCAGTAATGGATAATTCATACACCAATTGCTGCTCAGCGTGAGACCATTTGCTTTCTAAAACGGGATGATGTTTGCAGGACAAGCAAATAGTGAAGGGGAACACAGTACTCGCCCAAGAAAATGCCATAAAGCAAAGGACCAGCTTCACCGTACTTACTATTCTAGCAGGTAATTTTCCATAACCATAAACATCAATGACACTTTAACAATAAATCACTAGAGACAGATTGATGCCACAGAGCTGTGTGGTTAAGGTCCTGATACTAAGGAAAATGGCTATTGAGCCGGAAAACCTGCACCCAACGGGATGTTTTCCCCTCCAGCTCTGCAGAGCCTCCCACCTACCGATCATAATCCATGACGGAGATAAGCAGACTGACTTGATCCATGTTCTCTGGGGGAATGTCAAAGATTATTGCTTCATTGTAAGTGGGATTAAGTGTGTTTTTCTTTATGGTGGTTTTCTTCTTTTTCAGTCTTCGCCCATCACAGAGCAAAGATACTTTGACATATGGATCTGGAGAGGAAGAGATAGGAAAAGGCCTTCTGTTTTTGCAGGTTTATTTTGTTACCATCACAAGATAGAAACAGCATTATCAAAGGATGGACTGTGAGTTACCATGAGCAAAGGGCACTCCTCAAATGTACTTTTAGAAAAAGGGGTGTCTGTGTACCAGCTGAATCCACCATTTCTCGTACTGTTTTGAGTCCTGACATGAGGTTCAGGCACCGGAGAACCAGCACTGCAGCCTTTTTGGAAGGAAAAATCAGCTGTTTACGTCAGTTTGTCTGTGATAAGGGTTTGCAAGTGTAAGAAGGCCCCATCTCAAGCCAAGAGCCAATATTCATCTGAAGAGGATAATGAGCACTGGGCACTCAGGCATTCTTGCTTGCGCTGATTACATGGCCACAGACAGCAAACCCAGTGCTTTCTCTGAAGCAAAACTGTAACTTTTTCAAAACTTTCAAAAATTTTTCAAAATGTAATGCAGCATTTTGACAGTCCAAACAGGCAGAGGAGGTTATGGTACAGGGATCTTTTCCTGCACTGCCACCAAAACTACCCAAATGCTAACATTATGTAGCAGAGTTACAGTGAGTAGGGGAATTTTAAAACCTGTTTTCCCCATGTCAGAGAGCAGCAGAAAGAAAAGGTACTATGGCAGCTCTGCCTCATGCGCTTTGCACTGGCTGATCATGGCAGAATGCCCGCAAGTTACAAACAGCTCCTGTTTGCTGTAACGGCTGCCCAGGCAATTTCAATGCATTTCCAAGTAACAGCAAACGTACAATGTATTATTACAGAAATGCTGAGCTGGCTTCATCTGAAGTCTCGATTTTCAGATACTTCACATGGCATCGATCTCCAACTGAGTAGAAATGTTTTCTGCAAAGATCTTTTACTGTTTTGTTAACGCCTTTTATCAAGTCATCAATGAAATTCAAATACTCTGATGCTGAACTCTGAAAAAGAAACTGCTTTTTATGGTGAAATCCAGAATTTATGCACAATGAATTTGCAAGCCCACTCTTTGGAACTGGGAATGCACCCAGTCTTCAGGTGACTTTGATCCTAATGTTTGAGTGCTGGCCACTCTACGGAGGAATGAGCATTCACCGGGGATTTACCCAGGTGGCCCATGATCCTTTCCTAATCTTGGGGTGAAATGATTGATTCTGTCTGTAGCGGGTTATCTGATGGAAAAATCCCTGCTCACATAAAACTGCTATGGTCAGTATCTGGAACAGATCTGAAGTGTCCAACCCAAGAGATGGATCGGAGCTTTGACCCTGCAAACCCTTCAGTGGGGATGGGAAACTGCTGGCAGTCTCCTTGAATAGTATATTCACGTATCATCACCTTCCCTGGATTCATACCCTTGGAAAATAGGTTTAAAAGATAATTCTACTTCTAAAATTCTGTTCACACTTAAAACATGGACAAAGCTTTGTCAGGTGTTTCTGTGATGGCATCCATATGCCCCTATCCATTGAGGCTGCTTGAGGGAGGAGGAAGAAGTGTGGGTGCCACGGGCTCCTTCTCAGCCATTGAGCACCTACCTGAGTAACCAGTGATATCCATAGCTTTGAGATTCCTGCATTTGATGACTGTTAAGGTGAGGCGACCTGCAGTTGGCAAATAACAAAGGGAAAACATGATCTCTCCCAGGTCCACGCTTTCCTTTAATAAAACAGAGAACACATTACATTGGAAACGTGCAAGAACCAGCTAGGCTGTCTCCACCCTCCACCACAATGCTTTGTGCAGGATTCATGCAGCGCTCACACTGAAACAAGCTTTTCTCTATTCTGTCATTTTCAGGTAAATGATACTTTAGTATATGATGATGTTTCCAGTGTGTCCCAACATTATCTGGCTAAAAAGGAGTAAAGGGAACAGGAAAAAAAAGTCTGTCCAAATGTTACAGCTTCAAATCATAGTTAAGGATAATCTTCCACTGCCTCAGTGGAGTATCTGCTTTCTATTGCAACAGCACAGCTAATGCGCTCCTCTTTTTCTGCTCCACTGCTTATGCAGAAGTGAAGTGATATCTAGCACCAAATGAAGGCCATTAAGGAAATTATATTAGTATCGAGTTTTGCTTGAATGTCCAGTATATATCTTCCAGTGTCAAGTGTGTGACACTAACATCTATTTCCTCAAACGGAGGAATGTAATACAAACACAGAGTGAGATCACAGAAAGGTGAGACCTTAACATGCAGCGGTGCCACGACTGGTCATACACTGCAACAAATTCGACAAGTGATTTTCCGGTACACCCGATGCCATCAGTTCAGTAATAGAGGTTTACAGACTTTGTTGGTGCCTAACATTTCGGGACCTAATGCAGACGTATCTGAGGAACACGGTGATTTTCTCTGAAGTTGAGCACGAATTAGTAGGTAGTTACAGACCGGGGAGGGTCATAGTTTTCAAACAGAAGAGAACCCTGAAGGGCCCCATTTAGTAGCAATTGTGCTTTTAGGTTGTGACATGCTTACTACCTTTTTGACCACCAACCCCTTTGAGATGCCTTCAAAGAGCAAGCAAACGCAGTATGGGGCACGTATACATACGTGTATAAACAGTGAATTAACCGGCAGATGGCACTCAGAAACATTTGGTAGCTTCTGGATTATGCAGAGGCCAATACAATTTACTCTTTTAGTGCCCCATAAAACAACTTTTACACATCGCTCTTTGCACCTCTTGTAAATGCAGCCTTATATGCTACACCTCCTAGAAGCCCATTCCATCATTGCCTTGCTCATGGGAATTCAGAAAAAAACCTAGACAAACCAAAAGTATTATTTAAACCAGAAAGCATTATCATCTTAAGTCAGCAGTAGTATTTCCAAACACCTTCCAAAAATCAATTTAAAAAAAAAATAATCTTATTTTGTACATACAGATCCCACATCTGTAGAGCAAACAACCCATTTATTTTTGGAAACAGCGTTTGATTCATTTCAATGTGATATAATGATCTGCTGAAAAGAAATTGTAGCTGTTAGTAGTAGAGTGATGGAACTAGAAAGACAAGTAAATGCATTAGGCACTTAAAGCTTTGCTAAGTGTTAGGAGAATAGATCTTGTTGATGGATGAGATTTTTGCCAAATGATTTCCTTCTCGTTCTCTGGTAAGGCAAAGATTAGATATTTATTCCACTTAGACGTGCAGAATACTAATGAATGTTATATAAAAGTCTTGATTCTTGACAAGACTTCACTTGACTAGCAAATAAATTGAAAATCTTCTCAAGCATAGAGTGTACAAAAGAAACAGTGACAGTCAAATGTTTTGTGGACAGAACAATGTATGGCTAGACTTGTAAGTATCTCAATAAATGTTGTCTCAGAAGGTGCTATTTGCTGGTAAATATGAGTTTAATACTCTCACCCACTCAGAGTTCCCACTCTTGCTTGCCTTAATGAACCAAAGGCATCCTAAACCGCTTCCCTTCCAGTGCGACAGAACGGTCTCGAGTCACAGACTCGTTGTCAGTGACCAGTAATGAAATATGTGGAAACACTTTCTGAGTTATTATTCCTCTACCTTTAGTACCTCTTGATGTGCCTACTGGGAGCTAAATTTCTGGCCTCACAAAATATTACTAACGGTACTTCATTAAGGTACCAGGATCATTTTCATCACACACAAAAGAGCTTTTAGAGCCCCTGCAGCTTCTGACTCTTGACCACATTTCAGCTACGGCACCTTGAACACAGCGGGTGCCCCCGAGCCGGGCTGCTGTCGCGGAGGCAGAGCAGCCACGAACAACACCGAGCGCGCCAAAACGTTTGGCAGTTTTACCTCTGGCGCTGCCTCCACCCCGAGAGCTGAGCTGCGGTTCTTGCTGCCTGACTCCAATGCAGCCAATTTTCAGAGGTCAGAGAGCGCAGTATTTTACAGAACCTCATTCATTTCCAGTGTCTTTAAATGACCGCTCAGAACTCGTGTGCCCAAAATTACAATTTGCTTTTTAAAACATGGCACTTCTTGTTACCTTTAGAGGTATTTTTCCTCTTTTGAGATGAATTGCTTCACATAACAAAGAGCCTGAACACATAACTCTGCACTGAGGAGGCACCTCCTAACGAGTGTCTGGAACCTGCGGCAAACACTGCCACTGCAGCAGAACTCAGCTTGAGGGCTGGGATTGTACCTTTCCGTGTAAGTGTCTCCAGCTCCAATCAGACACGGCATCTACCAGTCTTAGCTATAGACTTTACTGACAATAGGAAAGACTTTAAAATAAATGTTCTGAAATTATGATTAGAAATGGTTGGTCTATTCCCAAAGAAACGAGCACCTGACTCCCACTGCGTGCTGGCTGCTGTGTCACGGTGCAACAACCATTGGCATCCAGACGACACACTGGGCTGGGTCTGTTCTTGCAAAAAGCTCTTTGGTCTGTGTTGGTTTGGGAGTTTGGGAGGGACGAGGGCAGGAAACCTGGGACACAGATGTCAGTATAGAGAGGCCCTATATGAGATGGTGAGAGCACTCTGTGGGCATCATCTCATCTTCTATTCCTCCCCTTGCACTGAGAGAACCCGTTCAGAGTATAAAACTAATATAAATTGTTCTTTGATCTCATTGTATTAGGTCAAGAGATTTTTCTTTGCAACCATAAATACAGGAGAGTAAAACATGTCCTGTGGGTACATTATTTTCTTGCAGATTATAGAAATTGGGACATTTCCAAAATTCATATCAGTACCTCTTAGGAAATAATGGAAGCTCTGAATCAATAACCTTTGCAGACTTGAAACCAAAAATGTTTCACTGATTCACAAGCTGTACAATCATTAATTAAATAGTTGAGTGCTAGCTATTTGAATAGCTTATATCATTGCTTAAGTGCGTTCCTATCTTCTTACCCATATGATTGATCTAATGTATTATTAGTCACCCAGAGCTTTCCTTGGGTATTACGAAAACTGTATTTACCCTTCTCATTTTTGATTAAGCAGAAATGTCCTTGGGTGTGTTACAACTGGCTGAGATGTACCAATATTGGCCCATTCCCAAAGAATGGCACAGAGAGAGTGAGGGGATGGAGCCAAATGCGCACTCGATGTTTCTGTGGGAGCTCTGCAAGGCTGCTACACGATGTGTCTTTGGGCATGATGTTGGCTCTGCTCCACTCACACCTTCTTTGAAGGCTTTTACCTCAACAACCCTTCTGTTGGTGTCTCTTCACCTGTTGGGTTTTTTTGGGGGGGTGGTGTCCCATTAAACTAGTTTACTTAGCTAGGAAAACATCCACCTTTTCTTGCAGAACCATCCCAGCAAAACACAGAACATGCACAGGTTAAAAACCCCATAATCTTCTCCTGCAGCTTTGTGTTTTATTTGCTTTTCCTCTAGTGAGACCAAGCGTTACCTCTTCCCAGTTTCACTCCTGCCCACAGGTCTTTTCCCTCCAAACTCTTCAGGCTTACCACAATCTGTGTATGCTGATCATATAGCAGGGGAAGGGAAACTCCCCGCCACCACACAAGTGACTTCACCCCAGGATTCAACGCATCTCAGCCAGCCCGGCAGAGCTGACAGCACGCCGAGTCTCAGAGGCAGAGCAGACGCAAACAGGTAGATGCCTCCAAGAGGCATCCGCACGTGTGGTGCACCTTGTTGCTCTCCTAGCAACCCTTTGCCAGGCAAACAGATGTGCCTGATGCCTGCTTGCCTCTTTGCCAGCATTTTTCCTTTCATTACCACCCATTAACCGTAACGTGCATGGCTATTTGTGGATTGAAAGCCAAGAGCTGTAAGCACCCCGCTAACTAATACCACTGCCTTTCCTTGAGGCTGATCCTGTGTGTGTCTCCCACCTCGCGCGCAGGCAAGATGCTCAAAAGGCAACACGGCTGCAGCGCACCGCACGCTCCCAGCAATGCCCCGGGGTACCCGGCAGGCATCGCGTATACCTCAGCGTCCTTAGACAGGCATGGCAAAAGCTGTACTGCCCCAGCAGCATGACGGCCGCTCTCTGTGCCCCACCGGGGCAGCTGCCAGCCCGAGAGCTGCCAACAGGGCCAACACACCGCACGCACAGTGTGTTCCCGGCGGTGCCTGGGCGCTGCGCTCCCGCACCGAGTGCCAGCTGCAGCGCAACAGCAGAGGAGGCAGTGCCGTGCCGGTGTGTCGGACCTCACAGCCCTTTTAGAAACTTATGAACGTGCTACAGTGAAAGAACAAGCACTAAGAGCAGTGACCAAGGGGTACAGCTGGTGCCGAACACGATACTGAGGAAAAAGCTGCAGAGCTACAAAGCCAATGTCTTTTGATACTGCTGACCACAATGCAATAAATATTTATATTTGACGGTTCATTCCCCAATACAGAAAGCGAGAGAGCAAAGGTGTGAGATGGGCTACGAAGGAAGTTGCAGGACAGATTTTTGCAAGTCATGGAGTTATGCCAATCACTAGGAAAGATCTGACATGGCCCATGCTTTCAGCCACAGGGGTGAGGACATCTCGCATTCCGCTTTCAGAAATAACAACATGAAATGACAAAGATGACGACTGACTTGGTGTCCAACTGCAAAGCAGTTCAATCATTTGTTTGCCCTCAGAACAAGCCAGGTCCTCCTGGGAGGACAGTGGAGGAGCAGACAGCTATTATGTAGAGGTTAATGTCATTGCTTCTGCACTGTGCGATCAATGTGAGAAGGTGGTTCCTCCTGCCAGCTCCCTGCAACACCGAGAGTAGCTGGGACTTTTCCTTCTCTGATGCTTGGCTTCACTTTCAGAGGGTATTCAACAGAACTACTTAAAAACCCACATCAAGCTCTGGAAGAGCTGCCAGCAACGCATCAGACAACGCTCTCAGTACAGTAAAGCCCAGTACCGCTGATGGGTTGGTAGTGGCCCTCCAGAGCTATTTCTTACTGTTATCGTGTGCCCATGGCAGACAACCAGAACCTGAGACCCTTCACATGTCAACGGGAGAACAGACAGGGAACGTCTCAGTTCCCTCACTTGATTTTTAGCAAACCTGGTATGAGTGCAACTCTCTGTGGGGGAGATAACAGCACATCACTAAGTAAGAGGATGAAACTCCAGTAAACTGGGATTCTGGTAAAGCTGACAGGCTTCCGAGTACAGCAGCCTTCACCACCCCTGCATGCAATGGCTGTAGGTCCCCAGGGCTAACGGTACCACCCACAGGGAGGCAATAAACCCACCAGCCAGCAGTTCTGCAGGACTTACCCCTTTAGGCAGTCCAGCCGAAAAGAGAATCCCAACCCATCCTACCCTGGAGCCGCTCACCACACACTCTGTACCTGTCTTCCCCATGCACAGGTACCACACACCGCACCGCGGCGCCTCGCTGCAAACGCTGCCAGGGCAGGGATGAACCTACAAAGCAGATACTCACCGTTGTCGCATACTGAATGTCCTTCCAGATGGAAGTCTCCCGGGAAAGGTCTGAGGCCTCAAACAGGTTCTCCAAGATAACTTCGCCTATCATGTCGTGTCTGGAGAACCTGTCAAAGTCAAAGACGCTCAGGTGGAGCTTCCTGCTTGCCAGCTCCTCATGAGGCACCGGGAAGTGGAAGGACTCATCGAAGGTGGGATTCAGAGTCTTCCTGTGGACTCGTGTCTGGAACTTGCGCTTTCTGTCTGGCAGGAGGTAGATCTTCACATAGGGATCTGAGCTGCCGCAGAAGTCTTTGGCTGGCAAGTCAAAAGCCCTGAGAATTCGGACAGTCAGCGTCTCATTCTCGTAGTCGTACTTGAGAGTGAAGTTAATTTTCCCACAGGTCTTTGCTGCCTCTTTTTTGGGGTCCTCAGAGTCAACAGACTTTTGCTTATAGAGTTCAGGCTTAATGCGACCGATGCTGGTCGGCTGCTCAGCCACAGCTGGTGGGTCCATGCCGTAGTCCATGCTGGATACGTGCATTTGCCGAGGAAGGTGCCTTTTGAAGGAGATGTGCCTGCAGGAGGAGGACACGACAGCTGTATGGTTTTCCAAGGGCATTTCTCTCCTTTTTCTCCCCTGGACTACTAACACTAGGAAAGCAGGGAGGGCACAAGAACAAGCACAATAGGTGCTCCTGACCTCTGCACAGAAACAAGGTACGTTGTGGAAGTGAACACTGAAAGGAACACCTCCACTGGTCAAAGGAACTGATCCAGCAAATTTCCTAACTTTCAGAGTATTTGCAGCAAGCTGCATTTTTTCACTTGTTACACAGCTAAACATGTGAGACCCAACAACTCCTTAACCAAGCCACAGTACAATTCCAAGATACAGGCACTGTTTCCCTCAGGCAAAAAAATTTCTAAAGCGAGAGAACCACGACCGGCTCCGAAGTCAGGTTTGGTTCTGGGTATTGTTGCTTCCAAACTTCTCCAACAGACTCTCATCAGACACCGACAGACAATTCCTGACAGGGAGGAATGCACAGCGTCATCTGGAAGCTGCCTCTTGCCTTGAGCTCCCCTTCAGCACAAGGGAAGCTCTATGTAAGCAAAGCTTTATTGAAGCAAACCGTAAAAGCTTTCTGTGGACTCACAGCGTTATTTCAGACTATCTGGTGTTTACAAGAGCAGTATATGGCATTATTTAACCGTAGTAGGAACTTGTACAGCCAGAGCATTAGTTTTTGGTGATACGTGGTGCTCCTTGGCAGGTTCCTCAAAGGCATTTTGGCCTGGGCCGGGCTGGGCTGTTGTCAGAGATCCCGCACTGCCGAGGCTGTTCCCCAGCGTCCCCGGGTCTGGCTGCCTGCCCCTGGTTCACACTGGGCTCCTTCGCTGGAGAAAGGGGGTTTGAAACCTTCCCACATACAACCACGTCCCACTTTGTTTGTCCTAATTCAGACAGGCTGAGCTTTTGTTTTCTCATCCGCTGATAAGGTGTAATAATGTAAAAAACCAAACCAGAATGAGCGTGTGCAGAACAGAGAGGCCATCAGCTGTCCAAAAAGCGGTGCAGTTAAATAAACGAGTGTATGGCACAACTGCAGGTGGCACCGCGTTGGTTTTAATGCCATCTTCTGCAAACAGAAGGCTGTGATCGGTGCCTTAACAATTGTGCAGTACTGCAGCCAATTTCTGAGCAATGTCTGTTTTCGCAGTTGCACTCTGGCACGCACCGTGCGCACGGCCAACCGGGCGAGCAGAAGTGCTGGGGCACAGCCAGGACCCCGCGATCACCGCTCCTGTCCTAGTTTCATGGCCTTCTGCGTCAAGGAAGGGGTACCGTATTTCTCAGTATTCCTGCCGAGAAGGTGTCCCAAGGTTCATACAGCCTTATCCCGATTTACTGAGTGTGATGCTGACATCTCTGTCCCCGGCTGAGACAGAGACGCGCGCTGAGCACGAGCACTGAGCGCAGCTGGTTCTAAGCTTGTGCAGTGAGCAATGTGTCAGTTCTGCTTATCTAATTGTTTCTGCTATGAGCCACAACAACAAGAGAGAGCAAAAAGGTCTAATTCTGTCTGACAGCATACCATCATTGATACTTCAGCCTGCCTCTCATGTTGGAACAAAATTAAAGTGGCCAAAGCATACTGACGGCTTGACACAATGAGGTCAAGTCACAGTAACAGGGCTTGAATCCCTAATTTTTTTTAAAGGGTCCACGGTAAGCCAGTCTTAACACATTAATTGTTTAATGACCAACGTTTGGAAAGTAATTGAGCATGCAGGTGGGAGTGCTTTCTTTTGCCCCCCTGAACACACCTGAACCTCAGGCTCCATCAGAGGCTCCTCCCGGCTGCCCCGAGGCGCAGCATCCCTCCCCATCCCGCTCACCTGGTGGACGACGCGGGCTCCGTTGTTTGCCTCTGGATCCGCGTGCGCCGCATGATGTGGTCTTTCATGGACATCTGGACCTCTGCGGGGATGTCTGGCGAGGTGTGGCTGATCTTCACCGCTGCCTCCAGGAAACTTATGGCACCCGTGTCCTTGAGCTTGTCTGCCATGTTCTCCTTACTGCAGTCTGCCTCGCTCTGCAAGATGGCCAGGTGAGAAGAAATGGCCTTGTTCCTCCAGGGAACCCAGCACAGCTTCCAAAAGAGAAACAGAAAAACTGCCACCAGGGCCAGGCCACACACAATAACTATCACTGCAAGGAGGCTGACGGAGAGCTCTACAGGGGGAGAGAAGGCAACAGTGACAGGGAGAGGGGAGGAAAGGGAAAGGAGAAAAGAAAAGAAAAATGGTGAGAAAGCCATAAGTAAAGGGAAGAAATGGTCCAAACTGACTTAAATCACGACTAATGGAGAGCTCTTAGCAAGTTCTGCAAGCGAGAGTCAAACCCAAGTGAGCATCCCTCGGCAGATTTGGGACGGCTTCCTGCCCCAGACACGTCTGGGGAGAAATGGCTGTCTCCAGATGGCCAGAGCCATGAAGTTCTACACCATGATGCTTAGATTGGCTATAAAATATCATACTTGGTTTGTTTTGTAGCATTGGCAAACTGCTGAGCCTGAAACCGAGCAGAATTGCAGAATAGAATGGTAGAAACAAGCTCCAGTGCTGTACCAGCAGAAACTGCCTTTTTGCTTTCTACCACAGGTGTTCAGACACTATATTTAAAAAATCTATCTACCATGATCCTGGCAGCAGATTGCTGTTGTACTATCAGTGCTCACATCTTGTCCAGATGTGCCCATAGAGACTAAAAAGTAAATAAATAAATAAAAAAAAAAATCACAACCTGCTGATGCAGTGAGATATAACAGAGACGGAGGCTGTACGGAAAGTACTACACGTTCTGCCTTATTGTGAATAGCACAGAAGCTGTGTACGTTCTTTGACTCTCTGAGTCACTTTTACCTCATACACTATGCATTTCAGCATTTCAGACTTTTTCTGGAGAGGAAAAAGCTTCCATACCTATGGCTGAATAATCAGGAAAAAAGGAAGATATACATAGATATAGGAAGATATACGGAAGATATACATAGATATAGGAAGATATACATATGATCTGGGCTGTGACATGATTCACAGCACTTCAAAAAGAGAAAACAGTGGCTATTTTTAGTTCCTTCCTTACAGTGTATTAATGCCCAGGTTCCCACCCAAACCAAAATTCCAACCAGTCCCTGAAGATGACGACAGGTTTTGCACTGGGGTTAAGTCTGCTGTGCCAGGACTGCGGACGGTTCTGTCACACGTTGCTTTGTGTTCAAGGACAATTCCTGGAACGGCCACTGTGTTAGCTGTAGGGACTGGTAAAGCTATCCTCTTTAAATAACCTAACTGCATGTCAGGACAGAAAGACAGGCAAAAAAATAGGAAATGCTCCAGAAGTTTGAACAGAATAACCACTGCTGTGACTGGCCTCTCTTGAGGTGTACCCTCGGAGCAGAAATGTTTTGCGTTGACACGTGCAACAGACAGCAGCGACGCGATCCTCTACCTGAGGTGTGCGTATGCCTGAATTTTCTACGTAGTCACAGCTGAAATGGCTCTCGGTGAGTATAACAGTGTCCTGTACACCAGAGCAGGGAGGCAGGACCCGGTGTAGCTGCCAGAAAGCGAGCACGTGGCGGGTGGACGGGATCGGCAGGACGCGGCTGCTCTCTCCCGGGCACGGGGCTGGTTCCCAAACCGGAGCTGAGCCCCTGCGCCCGCAGCGCAGCCGTGCCGGCGGGAGGCGTGGGATGGTGCAGGGGGACGCGCAGCACCCCGGGAAGGGACACGGGTCCGCTCCTCCTCCGTGGGGTCTGCACAGCCCCCGCGGCAGAGCCACGCTTCGCCAGAGCTGGTTAACGGGGAGGTTCGCGGCTGCGGGATGAGTATTTCAGTTTTGTGCATGTGAGCTGACAGCACCTCTTTAGATCATGGCTAAATGTACTTCTCACCTCCAGGAGCTCTAAGAAACGCTAGACTCACTCAAAAACTGCATTTAAAACAGCCTCCCACAAAATCCGTCCTTACCGGGCAGTTTAGCTCTTAGAAGATAAACTGGGAAACTCACATCTGAGCTTCATCATAGCTACTATAAATGCCATCCCTCACATATGCTTTACCTTAAATAGAAGTCATAAGAAGATCTTCTGTTTCCTTTGTCATATAGCTTAGTTTTGTACAGCTGTAATAAGACATTTAATGTATAAGGCTGAGAAAATCTGTGAAATACAAGGAAAGACTAAATTTTTACCTTGACGAAATAGCTGAACTTTAATTTTTTTTTAAAAAAAAACAGCTAAAAAAACCCCAACCACCATTGATGAACTGTAACAGCAAAGTATTCATGAACGCATTTATATCATCAAATTTTGCTAACGTGCTATCTGGCAATACAACAGCTAGTATAGATTTAGGATTTTTGCACTAGTTTCTTGTACGTGAAATCTCAAGGAAGCATCAGACACAAAATGCGACATCTACACGGGAACAAGGCAGTTCTACTGAACACCTGGGAAACCATCTGTTGTTCCTGATATCCCAGAGGAAACGCACTGTTTTTCCACAAAATTACCTAGCTTAGCAAATTCACCAAGAGCTTGAGGCAAAGCTTCCTGACTGCCCACAGGTTCTTTCACTTGAAAGGAAGGGCTGGAAACTGCCAGCAGTGCAGACGGAAAGAACAAATGCCATCCAGAAGTTTTTGCAGCTTTTCCTCTCCCTCGCCAGCCTTCTGTACAGGTCAGACTGCACCATTTATTTTCTGCTGTATCTCCAAAGTGGAAATACAGATCACTACTGGGGCGAATAAATAGGTCCTGTCTTATTCAATAATAAATAGGATTGTAAAAGTCAGCAGTGGAGCTTCCTTAGAGATTTGGCTAAATGTATTCTCCCTAAGCAGAGGGCACAGAGGTACCACTTTCCTATACTTTGAGATAGGTCTTGGAATTGTGCCCAGGGAACTCGGTGTCAAAGAGTTTCATAAGAAAACTTAAGAACCTGGACTTTCGGCAAATATGTCTATGTTGTTAGGAAGGAAATAGTTGCAGTGCAGAATCTTTCACTGCTGGGTGTTGTTACGTGACAGAAAACTTTCTGTTAAGATACTCCAAGAAGTTATATAGCATCCATGACTCTGCTAGCACACCAGACTCATTAACAGCAAACATCAGAAATAATCAGTTATCCCTTCTGAAAACCTGTTGCCAGCTTGAGAAAGATCTTAGTTCATGTCACTTCTTGCTGAGCTGGCATTCATAATGTGCTTGACAGCATTCACAGATACTTTTATGCATGACCTCCTACTCTTTCCTCTGACAGCTCACATAAAACACGAGTAGAAGGGATCAGGATTTTACAGACATTTTTTAAGCATCTGCCTGGGAAGAATATTGGTTTGTCTGAAGATGACATTGAATTCCCCAAGACTTTTTCGTTACTTATTAAACTTAAATATCAGTTGGACAGAGTTGACCTTAATTGATTTAATGAGCTTTCTTTTATGAATTTGAAAATACCAGTTACTTTTTAAAAAATGCCTAGTATTCAAAATGTTACACTTTAAATGTCCTTTAACTTACAAGAAAGTGTGAAAGCAAGATAAGGAGTTATCTCACAGAAAACGCCCCAGAGCCAGAGGTTACTTGGGTACTGCTGGCACGGAGGTAAGGCCCGTTCCCCCAAAAACTTCTCCAAAGACAGAAGAGACTAAAAGGACACTTCAGCCCAGAGGAAAAATTATCTCGTTTGTTTATATTATCCCACCTTGTGCACCGTTCGGAGCCAAGGCTGCCTGAGCGGAGGTGGAAGAGGGAGGAGTCTGTGCCGGGCAGTAAGGAAGGGATCCGTCTGACACAGTGCGGCACAGGAATAGTTCAGCCTCTGCTTTACCCAACGTTTCACACGCCGCAGCCCCTCGCTGGAGCCCCCCCGCTGCTCACCGCACCACCATCCTTGGCAAGGGACGGAGGCACATCATCCCTCTGAGAAATGTCCCATCTGAGGAAAAATGCAACATGCATTCTACGCTTCTATTCTATTCTCCTCCAAAAACATAGCAGTGAGTTATGTGTCACTTTGTTATCGGGTAAGTAGGGCTGTACAAGTGCAGAATGGCTTCAGCCATTCCTCACCCTCTTCTTATCTCACTTGGTGCTGGAACCTCATCCTAGCCCAGCACCCTTGAGAGACACGGGAGAAATTGCCATGTTGGAAAATGGATTTTATTACACTCGTAATTGAAAAGATAAAGCTTAAAAGGAGGAGGTGTCAAATACAAATTAACATGTCTATTTCCAGTCTCACCCCTGGGAGTTAGAGCCCCTTCCCAGAGGAACCCTCAGCTGGAAACTGCTTTGGGCAGCAATGACGAAGCTCTCCCGTGACTAACGAGGAGGGAGGGGAGAAGCAGCAGCAGGAAAGACGTGGACAGGGACACGAGCATTTACCTGCATGAGCTGATATGCTCAGGATAAGGCACTGAGCTGTTATTTACCCAGTGGAACAGAGACGGCTCCTTCAGGGATGGTCTGCCTCACCTCTGGAGACCTTTTTGAGGTCAAGGTTTAGTGTGGTATGTAAAGCAAAAGAGAAATTGTGAATTTGTGACCCCCTACATTTCTGTATGCACCCAAACTCCTCAGAGAACTGAGACTTTGTCCCAGTCCCCACAGATCACCCACTATTACATCTCACAGCAGTGTCCCAGAAGTGACCGTTGACAGCCATCACCAGCAGTCCTGGTCCTTTGCTGCAGAGCAGAGACCTTCACCAAGAGCATTTCCACACCAGGAGGACCAGGGAAAGGCTCCTCTCAGTCAGGAATGAGCTTTAGGTGAGTTGTGCCATGGATTCCCCATCAGAGAAACACAGATTTCTAAACCAGAAAGCCATTTGCTGCCAGGACAGACATGAGCACCTCCACGGGGACGCCCACATGGATCACGGTCTTTGCGCTGCTTTCCTTAGTGAACAGGAGAAAGCAAGCCGTACCTGAGAGGCTAATGATAAATGATCATGTATCACCACTTATGCAGTAGGAGGTACCATTAAACGTCAAAACCAAGTCAAGGGAGACGCTGATCTCCCACCCCTGCAGCCTGGAATAAGGGAAAATAATGAATCAAAGCCTTCAGAGACAGCACAAACAGCTTAGACTGACTTGTTACAAAAACAACACTGTGCTTTTGTTTTCTTGTGGCAGGACCAGTTCTGTATCTATGAAGGAAA